GCAGTGGCGTCTGGCCCGCTGGCTTCCCCGTCTCCGCCTGGGGCCAGCAAGGCCCCGAGCAGGCTCAAGGCGCGTGGCGTTCTCCCTGGGCGTCTGCCTCTCCATCGGCGATCTGCTGCTCTCTTTTCCCGAGGCGTGCTCGTGGAACGGACGCGCCGTTGGAGGCAGGCGTCCTTCTCCTCCTCCTCCTCCTCCTCCTCCTTCTCCTCCTCCTCCTCCTCCTCCTCCTCCTCCTCCTCCTCCGCTCACACCACCCCCTTCCCCCTCCCCGTCGTTGGAGGCCAGCCTCTTCCCGTCGTTGGAGGACCCCCCAAATCCCTTCTCCCCGCACGCCCCCTCCGCCACTCAGGCTCATCACCCCCTCCTGCTTCGAGTAAGGGATCGACTACAGAACTGACTTACCCCAAAATCCCACCAGCCCTATGGGCGTAGGTGGTCTAGGCCGGCTCCTTTTCCAACCTCCTTCGTCCCTTTCCGGGGAGGGGTTGATCACTGTTCCCTATTAATAAACACCCCCTCCCCCAGGCGACTGGTAGCCAACCAGGAACCATGGCACCCCCCCTACCATCCCTTGTAAAAAAGAGGTCGGCGATGGGCTCCATCAGCGATCAGCGGGCGAGCCGAGGTCGATGCAGCCACCCCCCCTCCCGAGCCCGCTTTCCCCCCGCAGCGCTGCCCCCCTGTGGGCGGGCGCCGTGCACCTGCCCCGTCGGCTGGTCCGTCGCGCGTGCCCCAGCTGGTGTTTTTGACACACACACACACACATATATATATATATATAATAGACACAAAATAACAGGATTCCCCATGGTTTCCCATATCTTCAGGGTGTTTGTCTTCGCCCCCACTTTCCATATGTTTCCATATTTTCCGGAGGATCGATAATCCTGAGTGGTGACCACGCCGCGTGGTGAGTTGGAGGGGGGTCGGGATCTCGGCGGCGAGCGAGGGGGGAAGTGAGAAGTAGAGAGCCTTCTCAGGAGGCGGCGGAAGTTCTCAGAAGCCAAGGCGCCTTCTGAGAAGCTGTTTTTGTTCTCTCTTCGGGGAAGGCTCAGAAAACTTCTCGGAGGGCCCGGGGATCTCTGAGCCTTCTGAGAGGGCCCGCCCCTTCTCACTTCCACCCCTCGCTCGCCGCCGAACATCACCGAACGCTTTCAGGACTCGGGCCGTTCTCCGAGGACGTCTCAGGCGACCAGGGCCTCCAGCGTCCCAGCGTCCCAAGACCGTGCGGTGACGGACTGCGCGGTGACGTGAGGTCGTTGGGGATCCGAAGCGCCACGCGGTCCGTCGCTCTACGGCATTTCGTCACGGGCCCAAGGACTTCTGCCGTCCCTCGACGCGCGAGTGAGCGGCCACGGTTTGCTCAAATTTCACAGAGGTCGTTGGATGTACCAGGACTTACTGAAGGGGCCCGAGGACACACAAATAAATGCACACAAAAAAAGGTTCCCCATCTTTTCCTATATATTCTGGGTTTCTGTCTTCCCCCCACATCCCATATTTTCCCATATTTTCTGGGGAATCGACGATTCATTGTGTCTGTGTGTTTCTTTCCCTCCTGACAGGACTTACCCGGATTCACCTGGGTATACCCCGACGTATCTGCACCTAACTCGTTTCGCCCGGCCTGCTTCCCAAAAGACGATCCACGAAAGGTCGGCAAATCTCTCAAGGGCTCGGGGAGTTTCAGGGCCCCCCCGAGCCGCGCGTCCTCGGGGGCGGCCAAGAGAGGGGGGCGTCCAAGAGGGGGGGGTCGCAGAGCATGGCCCGAGGGAAGGGAGAAGAGCGGGCCGTGAGATCTGGGGAGATACCGCATACACTCGGGGCGTTGACCCAAGGAACCCTAAATAAGGAACGAGGCCCCTCTTTTCCATAAGTTAACTTTCGATTTCCTGTCGACAACCTAAAGAAAGCCTGAGGCAAGCTGTGAAACACTTAAGGAACACGGAGCCCCTCCCCAACGAGAAGGGTTCCTTCTTCAGGGCCCCGACTGTACAGTCAACCCGCATAATCAGGACGCACGATAAGGACGCAGGGGCCCTGGAGGGCCATTTCGAAGCTGTTCGAGACGGGCGCGGCCAGCGAAAGTGGCCAAGGATGGGCCGAGGAGGCAAGGATGCAAGGATACCCTTGGGAAGGTTGACCATCTTTGCTGTGCGGGTTGACTGTAGCCCCAGCCATGATAGCTACCCCCTCCTCTAGTCATCCCCCGCCGCTTGGCCACATCGAGCCGCATCGGCGATGCATCGGCGATGCGGCGCGATCCTCCGACCCCATCTACTCCAATCCGATCTGGAACGCCTAGAATATTCGAATAACGTAAACAGTGTTCTTAGAACATAAACCCGATGCATTCAAACAAAACAGTCTCAGCCAGAAAGGTTCTGAGAACATCTCGCGCAAACTACAAAAGGTCCTTAGGACATGTTATGGTGGGCCTACGGAGGCAGGACAGGACGCTTCGCCATTGCCCGAATTGACCCCCGTCTCTTGATGGAGGCTTAGGAATGGACACCAACACCAACACCGAGGGTTGCCTCGACCAGGGGGAGGTAATCCTAGATGTTGGTGCTGGTGGTAACATTTCGGCCACCTTGGAAGCCCGAATGTTACCACCATCATCGAGATCGTGATCGTCTTCTCTCGGTGTAGGCACATCGCCGATATTGGTGTTGGGATCAACCTCTAGGCCTCCTAGATGGGGTCGGAGGATCGCGCCGCATCGCCGATCCATCGGCAATGCATCGGCGATAGATCGGCGATGCATCGGCGATGCATCGGCGATGCCACGGCGATGCATCGTCGACGTGGGCGATGCATCGGCGACGTCGGCGTGAAGAAAAGCGGGCTCCGTATCGAGCCGCATCGGCGATGCATCGGCGATGCGGCGCGATCCTCCGACCCCATCTACTCCGACACCATCTGGAAGGCCTAGAATGTTCTAATAACATAAGCGATGTTCTTAGAACATGAACCCGATGTGTTAAAACAAGACAGTCTCAGCCAGAAAGGTTCTGAGAACATCTCGCGCAAACTACAAAAGGTCCTTAGAACATGTTCTGGTGGGCATAGGGGCAGGCCAGGACGCTTTGCCACTGCCCGAATTGACACCCGTCTCTTGAGCCCCGTCTTTTGGGCCCAGGAGAGCCCAGAATCGAATCGACAGAATCGGCGGACACCAGCTGGCTGGTATGCCTCCAGTGAGAGATCGAAAGACGGATCGGAATCCCAGGCCGAATCGAAGCGGAATCGGCAGCCGTCGAAGTCGAACCGAATCGCATCGAAGGAATCGAAACGAGCCTGGTCTCTTGGGCCCCGATTGAGTCGCGCGTCGGTGCGTCCGTGAAGCAGCACACCCGGCGTCAAGCCAAAACCTTAGACATAAGCGAACGGTTGGACGTTGCACATCTTCGTCGGCTGAACCGGCGCGGCGTTTGACCGCCTTGACGTTCCTTTTTTGGTTGTCCTGCAGAGGAAGGCGCTCTCTGACCCACGGCCCTACCCAAGTGTTGGTATCAACCTCTAGGCCTCCGATCTTGATGAGGCGCAACGATAGGGGGGGATAGGCACAGGGGGGGATGCATCGACCTGGAATCGGCGATACATCGCCAATAGATCGGCAATAGGCCCCCGATAGCGAATCCGCACCTTCCTGGGCGGGTTGGGGCTATCGGGCCCCTATCGGCGATCAATGGACGATAGGAGGTCGATGCATCCCCCCTATGCCTATCCCCCCCTATCGTTGCCCCCGACTCCTGGGGCCCAAGCGCGCCGGTTGTCCGAGCTGCTTCCGGCCGTGGCGACGAGGGGGCCCTCCGAAGGCCAACTACCATTGGCTCAACTCGCCCTCCTCTGAGCAACAAGGCCTCCACTTCGGCTGCAGACGCAGGCTTTGAGCCCACGAGCCGCATGCCCCAGCCCGAGGGGCCCAGCGAGGGAGACACGCCAGCAGCTCCGAGAGCCCTCTGGGGGCCCACAGACTTCCAGAGAGGCCCCACACCCTATCTCCTCCCCGATCCTCCTCCTCCTCATCATCATCATCAATTCTCGATCTCTTCTCGATCCTCCTCCACCTCCTTCTCCTCCCCCTCCTCGATCCTCCTGCACTCGGGCACACGATAACATGGATTACGGGTTCGATCTGCCGCGTGGGCGCCAGATCCACGGATCGGGGCGAAACGCGAAGCCGGCACCTCCCGAATCGACGACGAAGCGCGCCGAATTTGCATGGAGACAGGACCCACCGCCAATCCATGCGCCCTGATCCGCGCCTGCGCTTCCTCCATGCACGCACCTCCTCCGACTCCCGCTCCGGGCCCCCTTAAGGCTTAGGTCGGGCATGTCCCCCGACAGGCGGATTTTGTACGAAGAATGATAAAGATAGTCACGAAGGGTTCAAACATAGCGGAAAAAGATACCCCACAAAATCGTCCCTGTCTTATTTCCTTTTGCTGTGGTTGATCTTATGCTTAAACTAGTTTTGAGTATATTTCTCCTGAGCCCCCGACTTGAGCCCCGACTTGAAGTGAGCCCCCGACTTGAGCCCCCGACTTGAGCCCCGTCTCTTGGGCCCCGATGGAGTCGCGCGCCGGTGCGTCCGTGAAGCCCCACTGCGGGCAATACTTCTATTCATATACAGAGCGTCTTGGCCTTTTTGGGAAGGGGTGTCGCAAGGCCGAGGCGCACTGGATATGGATAAAGATCTAGCCTTTGGGGGCCAGATGTTGATCCATATCCAGTGCGCCTCTGGTTTCTGGGGAAGAGGGCCCCGAACTCCAAGACGCACTGGATGTGGATATAACTATTCTGGACGCCCGAAATGAGTACGGAAAGAATGGGTACAATGCCCAACAGCAAATGTTGTCCCAAACCAACAGCGGCCGCTGTTGGGCAGGCGGCCATCTGTCTCGAATGGACAAAGGCCGCGGCGGCGCGGACAGCGAGTCCTGCTCAAAGGGAACAGGAACTGCTGTTGGGCATTGTACCCATTCTTTCCGTGCCCATCTCGCTCGTGCAGAACTACTGCCCGCACCCACGCCGGGGTGCTCGCTGGCCCAGCGGCCAGCGAGGCGGCGGGCTCCGCCCGCGGCGGGCGGCGAGGGCGGCGCGCTCCGCACCTGGCCGCCGGGGGGGGGGGGGCGGCGTCGAGCCATCCATCCTCCTCACCATCCTTCGTTCCTCCTCCTCCTCCTCCTCCTCCTCCTCCTCCTCATCTCCTCCTCATCTACTCCTCCCTCCTCCTCCTCCTCCTCCTCCTCCTCCTCCTCCTCCTCCTCCTCCCTCTCCTCTCCTCCTCCCTCCTCCTCCTCCTCCTCCTCCTCCTCCTCCTCCTACTCCTCCTCCTCGCGTCGTCGAACGTCGTCGTCGTCGTCGTCGTCGTCATCATCATCTCATCATCATCATCATCATCAGCAGCAGCAGCAGCAAGCAGCATCATCATCATCATCATCATCATCATCATCATCATCATCATCATCATCATCATCATCATCATCATCATCATCATCATCATCATCATCATCATCATCATCGTCGTCATCATCGTCATCATCATCATCATCATCAGCAGCAGCATCATCATCATCATCCTTCGTTGTTCCTCCTCCTCCTCCTCCTCCTCGTCCTCCTGCTTGTTCTCCTCCCCCTCACCATCCATCGCTGTTTCTCCTCCTCTTCCTCCTCCGCCTCCTCACCACCCGTCGTTGTTCCTCCTCCTCCTCCTGCACCTCATCCTCAGCAGCAGCAGCAGCATCAGCATCAGCATCAGCATCATCGGCATCATCAGCATCAGCATCATCATCATCGTCATCATCATCATCAATATCATCATCATCATCATCATCATCATCATCATCATCATCATCATCATCATCATCATCAGCATCAGCATCAGCATCATCATCATCATCATCATCATCATCATCATCATCATCATCATCATCATCATCATAATCATCATCATCATCATCATCATCCTTCGTTGTTCCTCCTCCTCCTCCTCCTCGTCATCCTGCTTGTTTTCCTCCCCCTCACCATCCATCGTTGTTTCTCCTCCTCTTCCTCCTCCGCCTTCTCACCACCCTTCGTTGTTCCTCCTCCTCCTGCTCCTCCTCCTCAGCAGCAGCAGCAGCATCAGCATCAGCATCATCAGCATCATCAGCATCATCAGCATCATCATCATCGTCATCATCATCCTTCTCATAAGCATCATCATCATCATCATCATCATCATCATCATCATCATCATCATCGTCATCAGCATCATCATAATCAGAATCACCAGCATCAGCATCAGCATCAGCATCATCATCCTCACTTTCATCCTCGTAATCGTGATAATGAGGATAAGCATCACCATCAGCAGCAGAGGCATTATCATCATCGTCCTCGTCAACATCGTCATCGTCATCTTCATCAGCAGCATCATCATCAGCATCGACATCAGCATCAGCATCGTCATCATCAAAATAATCAGCGTCAGCATCACCATCATCACCATCATCATCATCATCATGAGCAGCAGCATCATTAGCCCACCAATACCACCACCGATACCTTAATCATCATCATGATCATCATCCTCAACATCATCATCAACATCATCAGCAGCACCAGCATCATCATCATCATTCTTAGTAGTATCACGATCATTGACGTCATCATCATCATCATCATCATCATCATCATCATTGTCATCATGCACATCATCAGCAGCAGCATCAGCGTCATCATCATCGATATGGTCGTCGTCATCATCATCGATATCGTCATGGACGTCGCTGTCGTCATCGTCGTCGTCATCGTCATCATCAACAGCAGCATCAGCATCCCAACCATCACCGCAATCATCATCATCATCATCAGCAGCATCATCATCATTGTCATAATCGTCATCATCACCATCGAAATCGTCATCATCAGCATCGTCATGCGCATCAGCATCAGCATCAGCATCATCATCAGCATCATCGTCGTCATCATCAACGCCATCATCACCAACATCGACATTAGCATCATCATCTCAACCATATCCTGCGTGGTCCATGCAACGTCTCCTCCTCACCTCCTTCCGCATTCTCTTCATCATCCTCATCATCACCACCACAACCTTCACCATCAGTTTCACCCGAACCATTATCAAGATCGTCGTCGTCGTCATCGTCATCGCTATCGTCATTGCCGTAGCTGTCGCCATCATCATCGTCATCGCCATCGTCACCATCATCAGCATCGTCATCATCATCATCATCATCATCATCATCATCATCATCATCACCATCATCACCATCATAATCATTATCAGCATCATCATTGTCGTCATCACCACCACCATCATCATCCGCATCGTCATCAGCAGCAGTCGAATCATCGTCATCGTCAGCATGGTCATCATCATCATCATCATCATCATCATCATCATCATCATCATCATCATCATCATCGTCATCACCAACATCGTCATCATCATCGTCATCGTCCTCGGCATCGTCATCCTGATCACCACCATCAGCAGCATCATCATGAGCATTAGCATAAGCAGCACCATCATCGTCACCACGCCATCATCATCATCAGTACCACCAGGAATCATCAACGTCATCAGCAGCATCATCGTCG